AGTCGTAAAGTCACTGGCACGTTACGTTCTCTGTATCGTTTAAAACATTTTCTCCTCACAAAGTCTAAGATCATGCTTGTCCAATCGCTCATATTACCCATAATTGATAATGCAGATGTGTTACCCGGATCTGTCCCAGGATCTTCTGAACAAGCTGGAACGCCTTCTCAATAACTGTATAAGATTTATTTTCGGGCTTCGTAAGTGTGACCATATTTCGCAATATAGATCTAAGCTTAATTGGCTTACAATCCGGCAGAGGCGTATTTCCAGAATATTACTTGTTCTTTTTTCCATATTAAATGACTTATTTTCGCCTTCTTATCTTAAGAGTAAATTTCACTATCTCTACTCATCTCATGATAGGGTTCTACGTTCGTCTTCTAACAACAAAATATGTATTCCAGTTCACTTCACCGAGTTCTATGGTAACTCCTTTATAGTTTATAGTTCAGGCTACACGCCTTTAGAACTCCTTGCCTGACGACATCAGAAAAGCTCCCAATAAGTTTGCTTTTAAAAAGTTGGTGCGTAATCATCTGTTAAAGACAACGCTTCTTACATGAATCATTCATGTCATTTATATTTTTAGACGTATATATTTATAGTTATTTATATGTACTATTTATATATGTATGTTGATATGAATATATGTATGCTTATGTATGTACGTATATATTTGTATACATGTATGAATAGGATATATTTTTATAGTTTATTTATTGTATATATTAGTTATATGTATATATAACGTAATTAATTATCATTTTTATTTAGTTTTTATTCTATATTGCTACACCTACTCCAAATTCTCACCACTCCATGGGTTGACTGGTAGAGAATGCCACAAGGCATTAAGTCCGCCCTTTGTATTCTTTTAGATTAAGGAATGCAATAAAGAATAAATAAATAAATAAATAAAATATACTGGTGTATAGACCGAAATAGTGCGCAAGGTAGAAGAAAATTTTTTATGGCAAAAATGTAAGATAGAAAAGGATACCAATTCTCATGGCTCTGATTTTAAATGACAGTTCGGCAAAAGTCGGCACGCTTGATATAAGCCTTTAGATATTTTGTAATTTTTTTACATTATAATAGTGTTAATGTTTATAATTAATAGTTTTTCAAAATGGTTACATGTTCCGTGAGTGACTATGATGTCAATAATAGGAATAATCCTGATGGTTGCACATTTCACAGGGAAATTCGAAAGACGTCGTTACTTATGACGCGTCTATTTTGGGTTAAAATTTATGTTATATACTGTTTAAAATATAGCATATTTTTAAATAATTTTATTAATTTTGATATTTTACAAAGAAAAAAGTGATTTTGGTGAATTCATTTTTAAACAAAATATTTTACATCTACGCTAAGGATTGATTCAATCACTTAACTATATCAAAATTAATGTCGACATTTATCTTGAATGTTTATAATGAATCGATAGACTTGTCCACACAACAAGGAGAGGAATGAAAATAAATGTTCAATTTGCGTTCTAAAAACGTAATTTTATTTTGTCGTTTCTTAAACAGATGGATAGAATATAAAAATGGATAAGTTTAATTGGGCGGTTGGTTGAAATCACAAAGAAGAACTCTACAATTTGCAGCAAACATTTTAAAACATAGATTTTTGAAAAATAGTTTTATCGTCGGACGGAATACTACCGCCTATATTATGGAAAGCAAACTTTACTTATTGGCCATAATAAGGTAATTACACTTATACAACTGAAGGAATTTCACTGCACATGTGAGCGAAGTCTTGCACGTGCCACGACAGCTGTGCGGAGCCAGCCCAGCCTCTGTCTATCTACATTTAATATCCCTGACACGTTGGCATTTAAAAAAAGTTTAATCCGAGAGAGATCCGAATGGGGTCTTTAATTTATTATTTCTTCTAATATTTTGCTTTCTCTATGGTAATTAATGTTTATATTATAAATACATAATGTTTCAAACTTCATGAGCCAATTTATATTACTCTCATCAGGTTTGTTAAAATAAAAATTATATTTAGAAAAATTATTTTGTCTTTTTTTAATTCTTTTTATTTAAGGGAATTTCGTTATTATTAACATGTCAGTCCCATTGTACCTTATAACTAAATAGCACAAAAAATATTTAATTACATATACAATACTTAATAAAGGATAAACCATTTGAGCAGCATCTGACAGTGGTTCAGAGAGTATACTTTGATATTCCTCTATGTTACACATTTTAATGTCACTTTTGGCGACCAGTAGTTTCCTCTCGTGATGGTTTTTAGAACATTCCGCGAGCAAGTGTTGTATGTCTTCGATTGTGTTGCATGTTTCGCAATTTGGAGATTGTTTCTTTTTCATCATGAAAGCAAACTTGTTGCACGGAATGTGTCCGGAGCGAAGTCGCATTGCTAATACAACAGATTTTCTGTTCAATAGACATTGATTGAACCAAGGCACTTTCGGAGGCTGACTCTGGATAGTTTTGTACCAAATCCCTTTTACTTGCGACCTTTTATCAAAATATTATTTTCAAAGTGCATAACATTTCTCTTTGTATTTAATAAAATTTCTGTATAATCTGGATCTATATTACATTCTCTTCCTTGTGTAATTGCCAATTTAGCCAGTTTGTCAGCCTCCTCAGAAAAATTATTTATAATGATTCATTTTACACTGTTATGGTACAGAATAAATAATTAGTATTAACTTGGTAATGGACAGATTGCCTACAGCCTACAGGCAACACTATGGTGTGTACAGTTTCGCCACGGAGACGTAACGCGGTCGATATTATTGCCTTACATAATTATTTCATAACTTAATTATTATATACCATAGTTACTAAAACATTTAACTAAGCTTTTAATTTTGTAGAAATACTTAAGTAAAAAAATAATGTTCATTCATAAATAAGAAGTAATAATCAGTTTTACCGAAGGCTTCACAATTCGAAATTTCATCTAATTAAATATGTAAATTTAGCAACAAGTTCTTAGTCATAAGGTTCCTGCAAATAAGTTTTTTTTAAATAACAGATGAATAGAGGGCAAACGATCATGAACAAACCTAATCGTTAATCTGATGGCTGGGACCCTTGAACATAGCCAGCTACCGAAAGGATAATTTAACCTTCAATCCCCATTCGAAAACCGGGCACGAGCAAAGTGCCCGGCCCGACACTAGGACAACAAGTGAAGTTGTGACATATAATTTCGAACAACACACAAGCAAATCAATAAAACAAAAAATAATCACAAGTGCTTCTACAGACCGGTACGAGGCGCGTCATGTCCAGGATCGATTGTTCGGCTCGAAGGTTATTCCAACGGTGCGTTACCGGCCTTTTAGAAAGGAGTATACTCCTTTCTCGAAGGTCTCTTAGTTAAACCTGTGTGGAAAAAGAAAAGCTGCTGACGATAGCAGATACCTGTTTATGCGTGGCAGCAAATTCCTAGTTAATTGCATTTTAAAATATTCGCAATATTGTTTATCGCGATGATGTAGATGAAATTTCGAATTGTGGAACTTGGTTGCAATATCTTCTAGAAAGCCAGTCTGTGGTTTCCTGTTCTAGAGATTTAAACGCCTTGTGAACTTGCAATGGAACTGGCGTCTTATAAACTTGCAAAGGAAAAGTTTTTATGAAATACTTCATATTCTATTAAGCACGCCAAATTTATCTTTTAAAGTGACCGCGAAACTGAACCTTACTTGATATGTCGATGCTCAGAATTCCGATATCGGCTAAGACCTAAGGCGCAAGTGGAGTGCTTTTAGAATTAGAACCCGCTGAAGGATCAACTACATTAAGTCGGGTCCCATCCAAGATTTTGTGTAGGTCACCTGTAGTGAATTCTGTGGATAAACCTTTAACAACATACTTAATTGCAGGATTGTGCACTAACTTTATGGCCTCGCGGCTTTCTTTTACTGCATATCTTAATAATATTGATTTTCTGCCTCTCGCGCGCGCTAGCTCTTATCCCCCGCACCCTTAAGCTCCTAACCTACCCCCCGCTTTCTTCGTAAATAGCGTCGCATCGTGTAGTTTCGAAACTAACCCTTGAAAGTTCCAAAACAAAACCACATGAGCGCTAATAAGTCTACATTTAATTTTTTTTTTTGAGACTTGGTATAGATATTATACTTAAATATTTTTGTGTAATTTTTATATACTGATATTATATGTTTAATAATTTGTAAATCGTATCGTGTATTGTTTATGTAGATTCTTTTAAGCACAATCACAATGGTGTGCTGTTTATCTTATTGATTTAAAAAAAATGCATATTATGTACCTTATTTACGCCGTTATCTAGCTATCTAGCTATTCAAAGAACATATTAAATCACTACGTATATTACTGCCAAATTTATTTAAAATACCCTATTTAATTATTTTAAAATTATAAAAGTGTGTACGTTAATGCGTCAGTTTAAAAGAGTAGTTCGTTGTAATCTATCTACTATTGTAATGGATATTCTATGTAACGATTAAACTACAACATGAAATCGTATATTCGTATAGTATCGGGTGGGCGGCCGAGAAAGCATCATGACAAACTGCAACTTCGTATCCTCGACGCCGATGGGGGCGAGGGGCGCCACCGCGCGCCGCCGCGCCGCGCCGTAGCGTAGCCGTACGCAAAGCGACGAGCGAGCGACGAACTACGATGTAGTAGTCAATGCTTACCTCGCGTCAAGCGCTTCACTGTGCTTGTAACGAATTTAGATTTAGTCTGCGCCGCGCTGTTAAACTTTACGGACGTGCGCTACGTGCTAATAAACACTGTTGTCGTTTATAATTTTATTATAGTATTATTATTTAACTTTAGTTTAATTTAATCTAATATTTTTTACATTCCAAAAAACAAATCTTTGTTAGTTACACCTTGAATTCCGTTTAAGTGATTGCAACAGTTTCAAATCAAATAACCAAACTTCATGAAGTGTGATCGTGTTTTGACCGTTTAGTATTTTAATAAAACGATAGAACACAACGTATGCGACGAGTAGAAATGAGCGGATTGACCATCAGAGTTAAAAGAGGATCGAGGGGTAGTGCTACACTTCTCGAAGCAGCCAACAGAATTCTGCGATTACTTGGCGTAAGCTCCACGAAGCGCGGGAAACAGCCCTCGCCCAAATCTAAGGTGAGGTCAACGACTTTGAGCGTCCCTTATTTTGTTTTGTTTTCTTCATACTCTTTCAATGATCAGGTACTTATTTATTATTGAAACTAGGATTCGTTGAGGTTTTGAAACAATAATAGCACCAGTAAAATTTAACTTGCGTTTTGTTTTTAATTACACCAAAATGAAAAAGTATTATATTAGAATTATTTACCTATTCTTTTAGAATTGTTTTTATTTTGATTGTCTTGTTTTGAATGTCATTTGGTTGGATAACAAATAAAATTATTATCATATATATTACCTAAACATAACTATTAGAGACAGTATTGATTATTTAATTTTTTTATTCAAAATTATTACATATTTGAAATTATCCGTGATATTTATATTAATTTTTAAAAGTCATTGCTATATAAATCTTAATATATGTAATGTATTAGAAAAAGCTATATTGGCGTAGATTTGTTAGTTGAGTATTTGTTATTAAACTTTCTCTGCACTAGCATCAGTCGCGCACTTTCGCTTATGTTTTTTATTGTACACGAGCGAATGACCGACCGACTCTCGGCTATGTATCGTCGGAAAGCGACTGGCAATGGCAAACAAACTGCAAACGGTCGATGTGACGACGGTGATGACGGTGACGAACGACGGCGACGGCACTGACACGGCACTTGTTTGTTCACGCGCTATCGGCGTGACCATTTTGTTTACCACTACAAATGATTCACGATTCGCATTCATCATTCATTTACAAAGGCTAACTATAAAAATGATAGATATTTTTGAATCTCGCTTTATTAGATATTTTTATTAGGTAAAAATCTTGTGAAATCGCTTAGGTACAAAGTACAACTAAACTTTGTTTTTTGACTTTTCTGAACCTTTACTGTGTAGTAAATAATTACCAATGATGTGTATTTAAAGTGAACACTGAACAATAAATAATCAAGTGCTGTAAATTATTTAACATATCTATTTTACGATAACAAATCTGTAATATCGGTGGCGATGGTAGTTTGAGTAAGTAGGTACCTATATTTAACGTGAATTATATAAACGGAATAAGGAAAAATTTAAATCCTGTAAAATCAATTTTTATTACGTTACAGCCTTATCAAAAGTCCTCTGCTGAACATATACCTCCCCCATAGAAAGTATCATAGGGGGCATATTTGCCATAGTTGCCACACTTGGCAGGCGTTTTGGCAATCGCAACTTATTATTTTTTAGTTATTAGGTAGACGCTGCTACACGGTCATCGACGGTCTTTCAATTTTTATTAATAAATATAGAATAGAAGAATTATGTTTAATTTTATTATTATTACATTGTTTTTACCCATAATACTTATATTAAAATTTTGCAAACAATATTACCATTGCAGATATTATCTTATCTAAAACTAACGACATGACCAAGTGTTTGCTCATAGCGCATATTATATATGTATATTATATTATGTAGGTATAAGTGCTACGTCAGTATCAGCGATGCGTGTACACGTAACGTTAGGAGGCAGGCATACCCACATTGCTTATCATTTTAGATAGTAGCTAGTCTAGTTCCCAAACCTAAATAATATTAAACTTTACACAAAGAGTACACCATCATTTTCAAAAAAATAACTAGTCTACAATGTTTGTGGATCTCCTCAGTATTGATTATATTATTACAAAACAAGTTCTTGAACAAAAAAGAGATAAAAAATAATTTGAGTTGACCATTCAATTGTGGCGTGGACATAACATGTCTCTGTGAATATTTATAGAGATAACGATTCATTCTGTGGTTTGTTGTGATTCATAAATTTATAACCTAACGTAAATAGGTATATAAATAAATAAAAAAAAACTCAAGCTTATATTAATTTTGCTAAAAATTATTTGTTGTAGTTTAGTAACTGAATGTTAAATAACCTGACCTGAGTTACATCCGGTTGTAAATACAACCGGATGTAACTCAGGTCGAGGAATACTAACTTAATAATCGTGTGACCTCTTAAAATTCGGGTTACAGGACGTTAAGATAGGTCTATTGACTGTTTTTTTTAAACTAAACTTTAAAACTTAACATTTCATTTCCTATAGCCTGGTTGTAAAAAAGTTCGATTTGATGAATGTGCTTGTAGGTGCGGTCGTCGTTGTAGTGGGGTGTCCAGTGCGGGGAGGGAGGGATCGAGGCCGCGGAATGCGTTATGGTGGGAATGCGCTCGGAGTACCGTTGCGCCGCGTCGTCGGTGCGGTGTACGCCGCCTTGTGCGGAATGCGAGACCTACTTGTGGTCTGCATGGACCAGCACCATATTATTATTAGTGACTCATGCATCTCTTAGCCAATCACACTTGACGGCCAAATCTGGGCCATAGTCCATTATTTTTTGCATAGGAACACTAAACGTCTAAACATCCATAAATCTAATATCAATAGTGACACAGCTAAGAAACAGAAATTATCTTAAACTTTTATTGCGATTCAAACTGCGATTAAATTACTACGAATTTAGTATCTCATTAACTAATGATACTTACATAATATACAACGTTGGAAAGAAATAGGTACTTTCATAATGGTTTGTTTATGCAAATACTAGATACACATCAACATAAATGTATGTACTTAGGTAGGTAACTCAATGTTGATACAAGATAATTGTTGTTAAATGTTTATCAAGTTAAACAATATTTAGTGTTTATGTAATTTAAATTGTAAGTTCGATAAACATTAAATATAGCAAATCTATATTCGAATATTAAATTTATCTGCGGATGACAAGTGCGAAAACAAGTCTGCAATAATGCGATGTAAGGTCATTGCCGAGGACGTCCGCCTCTAACTAATCCTGTTCCAGACTCGCTATTTGTTATTAAAAGTTAAAAGTATGCATACATAATATTTGTAATTATATGATATTAAAAGTAAAAAAAATAAATATTTCAGTATTTGCATTATGTCTGCCGAGATATTTGTATATTTTAAATCTGAACGTTGTTGGACAGTAACTATTCATATTTATATTTATCTCAAGATTCCCCTGAGCCACGTCTGTTATGTCTTCATCCGGATTTAAATTTTATATACCTACCCTTTATGCAGAAACCGTATCGTTTCAGAAATCCCCAAAACGGTACTCGAGTAACCGCCTACTTTCATTTGATTTTCATTAAGTTTGTCTTTGGCAAATTAACCGTTAACCCAAACGTTTGTACTACTTAACTATTAGAGAGTGAATACAAGCTAAGCATCTATCACGGTTAATGTTGAATGAGAGTAATTTAATTTTTTTTTTAACTCTGACGCTATGAAAATCAACAAAAAGCTTGTGTCGTAAATTTTAGAAATTGGATAATTGAACTATAAGAGTGGCCATTGAATGTGTACCTACCATCGTTTTGATCGTGATATTTGCTAAGTGCGAATCTTTAAATAAAGAAGATACATATATCGATAAAAAAAATCGCTTCCTCTTTTCTAATAGAATTTTTCCTTGCCTCCACTATCCTTTTATTTTTAAAAACATATTATTAGTAAATATAACTATTTTTATGGTACATACTAAGAGTTTTTGTTTTTTCATATTTTATATTATTTGAGTAAATGTCATTGTCATGTTGTCATGTGTCATTAAAACCATGTGACGATTCGGACGATTGGTTCGCACAGTTTCATTAATACTGTAACGGATAGACGAACACATTTTGCTGGTTTGATATCTGAAAAAATACGGTAATTACGGTAGACAGCGCGTTGCCCCTTTCGCCCCACCGCGAGACTTGGTGTCTCACCATCGCCGTGCCGCTTCGTAAACAAGCACACGCTGTTACTCGACAACGACGCGTCTAACCGCCTCCGCCAATTCGCGAAACTTTCGCAAAAGGTATTCTTACTCAATTTACTTGTGAGGCAACTCCGTCACCGAAAGTACACTTTCGATTCGTATTTCTGAAAAATAATTGTAGTTATGTAAGTTAGTATATTATACTTGTAGATATGATTTTTATTAAAGGATATATGTATTTCTTTGTTACAGTTGAACGGTCGAGCCGGAAGTGAAGTTCGAGCTCCAATAGCGACGTCTGAATCCACTGCGGAGTCGCCAATCAAGATGCAGGCGTCGCAGGCCACCGCCGCGCCGGTGCCTGCTCCAGCCTCTACACCAGCATCTAGCCAGTCCTTCAGGCCTACAAAACGTACCGCTAAAGATTACATATTCGGCAAACTGATTGGCGACGGATGTTATAGTACAGTGTTCCTCGCTAAAGATATACACACTGGAAAAGAATATGCCAGTAAGTTTCTGTCATAATAGTAGTTGTAATTTTTTTGCTGGGTCGTAAGTTCCGCGGCAAGATTTCAGGCGACACGCTACATATAATACTTACTCCTTTGGGAAAGGATGTAGGTACTGCGGATCTTTGCCATGTCCCAGACATTATAACAATAACGCTTATACGTGGGTCTGAGTCATTATCGACCTGATTCCATTTCTTAAGAACCTTAAAGTATTAATGAAACTATGTGATTAGGGTCTTAATCACCTAGTTACATTACCTTAAGTAATGAAACATGGTGATAACAATTTACGTGATAGAACTATACTGGATCTATATTTTGGTTGTAGCACGAATGGGTCGGCTTGACCGGGGAAATACCACGCTCTCGCAGTATATCAGCGTAAAATAAAATAGCAGCTTAATGCTGCTGTGTTTCGTATGGTGAAGGTTGTGTAGAGAACCGGAGACCCTTTTTACTGGAACTTAAACAAGGCATTCCATCTTTGTACTCAGGAGTGACAACACATCAGCATTTTGATTCTTAATCGATAATAGATGTAGATGTCTGTGGACCACAGCTTCCACTTATCATCAGGAGTACCGTGTGCTCGTTTGTCGCCGTTATTCTATAAATAATACTATAAAAGTAAAACTGTAGTACTTATTTTGTTATTTTTTGTTATGATTATGAGTACCGTATTCGATTTAATTCCACTAATTTTATCACTTTCCTTCCTTCCAGTTAAAGTGTGCGAGAAACTTCATATCATTAGACACAAGAAGAGGGAGTACATAAAGAGAGAGAAAGACGCTTTAAACATGTTATTCAATGTTCCGCATGGTTTCGTGAAACTGTATTGTACGTTCCAAGACGATGAAAGATTGTATTTTGTTTTGTCGTACGCTAAGAATGGCGAATTGTTGCCTTATATAAATAAAGTGGGCTCCTTTGAGCTCAATGTAGCTAAATTTTATGCCGCTGAACTTTTATTGGCGTTAGAAAAGATGCACGCTAAAGGAATTATACACCGCGATTTAAAGCCGGAGAATATATTGTTAGATGAAAATATGCATTTACAAATAGCTGACTTTGGAACGGCAAAAATTTTGGATCCCGCAGAAATTCGCTCCAATACGCCCCCCACGGTAACGACCGAGCCCGAAGAAGAAAGCCCCAGTAAAAATGATCGTTCTAGGAAAATTAGTTTCGTTGGTACGGCGCAGTATGTGAGTCCAGATTTGTTACAGAATCGTGTAGACACACGCGCTTCTGATTTGTGGGCGTTCGGCTGTATAATTTATCAGATGATATCAGGGCTACCGCCTTTCCGTGCCTCTACAGAGTTCCTCACCTTCCAGAAAATACTCAAGATGGATTATGAATTCCCAGAAGGTTTCCCCGCTGAAGCTAAAGATTTAGTAGAAAAGCTATTAGTTTTAGATCACACAAAAAGACTTGGAGCTGATGACGAAGGTGACACATACGAGAGCATTCGCAGCCATCCATTTTTCGATGGTATTGATTGGGATAACATTTGGGATGAAACGCCGCCTACCATTAGTCCGTATTTACCCGGTGGGTCATTTGAAGAGGAATACACAGTACCAGATCATCTGGAGCCTGGCTTAGGGAACAATCAACTTGTGCGCCTTTGGGAATTTGACCTATCAACTTCGAGAGGTAAGCAAATTTTTGTTTTCATAAATATTTAATCAATGTCTTCTTCCAACTTTTAAATCAACACTGAATGACTTATTTCAGTATTGCCGCAAGTATTTCTAGTGCATAGTTTATGTTGTGTAAAATTGGAAAAGACTAGCGAATGCATTGAAGCGACTAGTAAGAGGCGGCCGGAGTATGTCCGTGACCCAAATTCTCGGCAAAATTTATTCGCATGTCGTTTCATGACTGCACCAATACAGATAAGTTTCCGTGTTTCCGTTGTTTCGTTAGCGGCTTCTGAAATTGTGCCACTTTGTCTTATAAAAACTGGAACGGTACATGAAACGGAGCGGCAATGTAAAACAGTCATTACTTTGATAATTTGTTAAGATACAGTAATGCGATCTCCCTATCTGCTGCGCTAATGCGTCATCACAATAGTTGTTATTCACATTCAAACGGACGTCTTTATTATGCGTCTCCATTGTTGGTTTACGGTGCAATAGTAGGTGTGACGTCATCTATCCGGCGCGCCAAAGGTCTAAAGGAGCTCCGCGTTCTTCGTCGCTTGCGACATTGCATGAATGACTGCCACGCCCGGCCAATCTCTTTATTAATGACCGCCTTACGAACAGCTGAGCGGCCACGATGTCGCGCTTCATAAGTTCTTATTGACGAGATTAAAATTCCTTTGTTAATTTGACCATAATGACATTTATAACAAGTTTTACTTGAGGTTAAATCAACTTTCAAAAGCGCAAACGTACAACGTCGAGATCGTTTTTTTAGGTCTATTTTTCGTTTTTGTCTAGAAGTTACCACCCTCACCTCATATATTTAGCGTACTGCTGTTTCGGTCTGGAGGGTACAGAACCAGTATATTTACAGGCTGATGCATTCCATCTTAGTCCTCAGACATGACACCGCATCTTTAGCCTTCTCTGTTTGATGTTGTTTGTAAGTGGACATTACATACTTAACTTATTTTAACTTATTTAGTGCATACTTAAGTGGACAGTAAATTCGTTTTTCACTTCAATGTCAATATAAATATTTGAAAATAAAGTTGTGTCCCTTAGCCTTATCAAACTTTCTCAGCTGTCTGTTACTGTTTTATTGATAGTTTTTATTTTTTGTTTTAGGAATCCTCAACATCAGTCCCGAAGAAAGACGACGTCGCCTAGAAATTCAAGCTCGGGAAAACAAATGGCATCAATTCGTGGACGGAGAGTTAATACTAAAGCAAGGCCTCGTTGAAAAAAGAAAGGGCTTGTTTGCGCGACGTAGAATGCTGCTGCTCACAACTGGACCACGCCTGTTCTATGTAGACCCAGTTAATATGGTCTTGAAGGGTGAAATACCTTGGTCACCAGATTTGCGTGTCGAAGCTAAGAACTTCAGAATATTTTTAGTACATACGGTAAGTCTAAAAGTACTATAGCTGAGTAAGAAGATAAGTTAACAATTATTCATAATAATATAAATGTATACTTATATAATATTATATCACTTCCATCATCAGCCCCTATCTGTTTGCTGCTGGATATGAACCTATTCCATTATATGAAGGATTATTAAATTTGATAGGGCTGCCGTTATATTATAGTTGTGGCATGAAAGGGTCGGCTCGACTGGAGAATGATCACACTCACAAAATAGCAGCTTAAAAAAGCAGTTTAATGCTGTTGTGTTTTGTATGGTAAGTGTAGAGAACCTGAGAACCATTTCAGTGAAAACGAGGCATTCCATTTTAGTCTGCAGGGTCGCATCTTACCGTGGCATCAGGTGGATGGTGTGCTTATTTGTCACCCTGAATCTATATAAAATCGCATGCAAACTGATAATTGCAGTGACTTGATGTCCACACCATTGAGATCAGACTCGGACTCTCGCTGAACTGGATATACAATGAAAATTGGTTTACACTAGATTGTAATATCTCCATCTATTGAAGGCAATTAGATTTTTCTTGCATCTCATTGTCCCCTTATACTCTACACCCACGCAACGACAAGGGGTAGTGGATTTTCTTTCCCCGCCACCATACCCACATCTATACAAATAAATAAAATTGAAGTGTCTGTTTGTAATGTCAAAATTACAACATTTTATTAAATGCATATGAAAGTTTATATGGTACTTATAACAAAATCTCAATTTTTAAAAATTTTGTCTGTCTGTCTGTCTGTTTGTTCCGGCTAATCTCCGAAACGGCTGGACCTATTTTGACGGGACTTTCACTGGCAGATAGCTGATGTTATAAGGAGTAACTTAGGCTACTTATATTTTAGAAAAAGAGTTAGGGTTCCGCGCCACATAACTCAAACCCTAAACTACACGCGGGCGAAGTCGCGAGGAACAGCTAGTCTATAATATACTAACTGACCCAGCAGACGTTGTTCTACTCTTTTCGGTAGGTGGCGCGATGCGTTTCATTCCGAATTCCTTTCGGACTTTTCAGTGTAAACATAAGCCGCCTTATTCCAAAACACGGACTTAATATAGTACTGGAGTTAGTAATATATTTAAACCATAAACTAAGAAAAACGTTATTACAAAACGAAGATTATCTCTGGTTCAAGGATTATCTATGGTATTAAAGTTAATCTTTCGAGACCCCTAGTTTAGCTATGGTACTAACCTTTCTATATAGTTTGTGGTACTCTATACTAACCTCAATTTCGGTACTTCTTAATTTGAGGTGAGCGTTGTTTTCATTTGGTGTTATTAAAATCGTTAAAAATGGATATTAACATGATTGACTTGATGGATTTAGAAGATTTGGACATGCTGGAGACCACTCGGCGACCTGATAGACATCGACATCGTGTGAATCCGTTTGAATTGAGTGACGAAGATTTTAGGTATAAGTATAGGTTCTCAAAACGTTTCGGAGAAAAAATAGTGGGTACCTTACGTGAGGATTTAGTGCACGACCCTCGAGGGTGCCCATTGAGTCCTGAAATTCAAGTGGTTTGTGCATTACGCAACTGGGCTCGCCATGAAGTAAGTGCTGTTTATAATCTTGGTGGGGTCAATGTACCTAACATTACGCTAGATAAAAAGCCAAATAATACATATTATTGTTTTATTCGTAGATTCAAGACGATACAGCTAATTTACATAGTGTGTCTCAACCAGTAGTCAGTAGGACATGTAAAAAAGTAGCGGAAATTTTGTCACGGAATTCCCGAGAATTTATTAAAATGCCTACTACTTTAAATGAACAACAGGAAACCATTAGGAAATTTCGCAGTATTGCTAATTTTCCTACAGTAATTGGCGCAATTGACTGTACTCACATACGAGTAAAGAAAGTGAATGCTGATGGGGGTCAGTTATATATTAATAGAAAAGGATTTTCTTCAATTAATGTACAGGTAATATACAAATATTTTAAATAGCTGTGATTGTCTCTTAATAGCTTTACTTTATCATAATAGAAAATAATTTGTTTGACTATCTTATGGTAATAAATATATATTAAAATAAACCAGAAAAACATAAAGTACTAATGAGCTCTTATTTTACAGGTGGTTTGTGATGCTGACCTGAAAATCATGGACATTGTTACCAGGTGGCGTGGTAGTGTACATGACTCCAGAATATTCCGAGAATGTAGACTAAAACAGAGGTTTGAGGCTGGTGCATTCTCTGGAATATTACTTGGTGACAGTGGCTATCCTTGTACTCCTTACCTATTTACACCGCTGCTGAACCCCACAACACCACAAGAAGAAAGATATAATAGGAGCCATATCCGTACCAGGAACACAGTGGAAAGATGTTTTGGTTTGTGGAAGCAACGGTTTTGTTGCCTATTAAGAGGTATGTTTGGAGATATTGAAACAGCAAAAAAACAATTGTTGCATGTGCTGTACTACACAATATGGCCATCGACATGAGAGAAGATGTGTTTTCTGGTGAGAGAGATAGCATTGAACAATATTCATCTGAACCTATAGTACAAAGATATGTTACACCATCAATAAGGGGAAATATTAGAAGACAGTTTATTGAAACTCATTTTCAGTAGGTAAACATTTTTTTTTACATATTTATATAACTATTTATAATTAAAATTTATAATTATATTTATAAAATTGTCAAATTTTTTTCAATTGTCTAAATCTATGTATATATAATTTATTTTATTTTGTTATTCAGAGGCCAATTTTGGCTATAAAATTACATTAAAGATCAATAAATGTATAAGACAATTATAATAATATTTCTTTTTGATTTCAGACATAATACCCATTTATAAAGGAAAATATTTCTGCAGAGCCGTTGTCAGCTGTCAAAGAATAACGACTACATATTCACCAATATGAAATAAATTCAGGGGAGTATTGTGATAATATTTCATTTATTGAGCAAAATGCTTTTATTTAGGCTATAAATGATTGTTTCAGGGAAAGATACGGGGTACAGCACATTCCACATCAATATGAAGCTATATTATATAAAGATTTAAGTGCTGTAGAGATATGTTTAGATTTTTTAATAAATATCGTCCCTCCTCTACATTCACAGCCGGATTTCCTTTCCAGAGGTGCAAGGGTCCACGGGGAGTAGGACTGTATGATAACTAAGTAAATAGGTTTAGTTTTTTTTATTATAGTTTTTTACTATTGTATATTATATTTCATTGTTATGTAAATAAAATGCATATTAATTATAATTATTTATTTTAATTATTATTAAAAGATGTACAAATATTTGCAGCAATTAAGTACCTGAAAATAATAGTTTCATATATGAGGATATTTACAAACATGTATCTGATATAGTCTCAAATATTTAGTTTTTTTTTTATAGGATAATGGTGATAAACACAGTCTACCACACACACACACAGTCCATCTGATGTTAAGTAACTGCTGTGGTGCATAGACGTCCACATCTATCCTCGACTACAAATCAAAATGCAGATGCGTTGTCACCCGTGTGGAGTAAGATGGAATGCCTCGTTTCCTGTAAAAGAGGTCTCTCTCATACAAAATTTGTACAAAAATTTATCCAAAATTTGTCAATAAATAAGTTTAAATGTTTTATTAAAGAAAAATTTTATAAAAAGGTTATTATAATATCAAAGAATACATAAATGAAAATATTGGAAATACTGGAATTGAGGTGATCGCCACCATGGTGGTTCTATTAAAATTCATTTAAAAATTGTACAAATAAAATTATTGTTAAGAGAAATATGTTTATAAAAAAGTCCCACTGGGTTTCTTACTAGTTCTTCCCAGGACTGAGGTATTTTCCGAACCAGTGGTAAATAAAAAATGTCTTTCAATAAGTATTCTGTAATAATCTATATTTAATAAAAATCATTCTATTCTATTCTCGTTCTATAAACTCACCATAATAAACACAGCAGCATTAAGCTGCTATTTAACTTTTGTTTTTCTGACTTTCTAATAAAGATATTTGTAACTCTAATTTTCTAATTTTTAGGTTAGCTATTTTAATATTGTATTTATGTTCCTCTTCCATCATTTCCAGTTGTCTTTTTTTAAAATCTGTGTTACTTTTTACAATTGTTTGGTGTACATCTTCTCTTCTGTAAAATGAAATGGAATACTTAATGTAAGTTTTGTAGTTATTTTAGACATTTACAAAGTATTCTAGAGTAATAAAAGTGCACTTAACCTTGTACACCAATTAAAGAAATATTTTTTAATTATTTTTAAATCAATTCATATTAAACTTTGCTTTTAATATTTGAAAACATGAAACAATTTTCAGTGTTTAAATACTAATTTTCACATTTTAAAAAGTATGTAATGTATCAGACTATGTAATTTTTTCAACATACCTATTTTGCAAGCTAAGTTTCCTGTTTTTAATTTTTGTTATACCCCTAGTAATAATATCTTTATTGTTGGTTATTTTCACCATTTTGGCACTTTCTTCTGTATCTGTAGTTGGATCTATCTCTAAAAATTAATATAAATATAACAGTTTTAGAAAATTAACATTTATAATATTTACAAACTTGTATGCCTATGATTGTAACTATAATAATAATATATTTTTAATAAATATTCAATCAGTATTATTTACCTTGCACATATACAACATTGGGTTCTGGATTTTCTACATTTTTAACTATAGCTGTGTCTGTTTTTTCAAAATTAAGGCGAGGCTTAGGGTCAGCAACTTCTTTTGATGTTGTAGCCACAGCCACTGGATCCTAAAATAAATCGTTAAAACATTTATTAACATGTTTTCCTGTCACCTGTCACCTCTATTTTGCCCTTTATTGAATCAGGTATTTTCTATGTTGTAGAAATATTATTATGATCCAAGACAAAAGGTAATTTAATAAATTATTAATTATAATACCTAATAGACAAAAATAGAAAATTATAATCGGACTGTGTAGATAATCTAGTAACATGTGTGTTATGATATTATGTAGACCACTATATATTAATTTGTGACATTTCAATTTTGAATATAATTAATTATAAAGAAATTTATGTTAAATTGTTACTAAGTATATTAAATTTTGAATATTCGGAAAATAATTTTGGATTGTAAATTGTATGCTTTAAGAGTAGATTTCAGAGCACTACCTAGGTACTAAAGTAATGGAAAATAAAGTTCTTTAATTTTAATTAAATTTGTAAGACATGTAAGTAATTTTATTTACCACTGCATCACTATCATAATTATTAACTTCAACGATAAAGTCGTGAGGGGCAATGGACATTATTTCCAAGTCCTCAAGAGAAGGTGATGGAGGTTTTCCGCCACCCCCGGTCTTTGATTGTTCCCTCCTATATGTGTATAAGTTTGATTTAGCACACAACTTCATTCTTTTCCAAGATAATTTCAATTCACCATCTGATCGGCGTTTACCTGTTATCTCATTAAATCTAAAAAAAAAATACGAAATCACGTAAACAATACCGTACCTATTTGTACACATAACAAATGCGATAAGTACTTACTTATTAGTTATATTCTTCCACTCTTTTATTTTTTGAATATATACCGATGTTTTTGTCGACTTATTCTCTATTATATGTGCTGATTGTGAAATAAGTGAACGTAATATTTCCTATAATAATAAGAACATTCCTTTTAGTTGAAATAAGGATAATAGGAGGATAAGAGTATTGGTACGTACTGACAAATAAATTTCGATATTTCACTAACTTTTTCTTCAGAACTCCAATTTTCACCCCGTTTTTTCTTTTGTTCCATTATTATATAAATATAACTGTAATAGCAAGTACTTAATTAATTATTAATAATTTAATTTACTTATTATAAGGCTGCAATATAAACTATTTTGAACGTCTCGAATCCCGCGCTCGCGTTACCTCTGTAATTCACTACGTTTCACGCTAGAGTTGTTAAACTGAAAACAACTTGATATAATCAAAAGCGCGTCAAAAGTATATGTCGTGCTTGTTCAATAGATTTTAACGTAAACAAATAACAATGTATGATATGTTTTTGTATTGATGGATAATTATTTAAGCATAATTAAGTGTGAAAATAATATTAATATTTTATGAAACCGAACGTTGCATTGAATGAAACCTGTATGAACGAATGATAGAGTGTCATTTTTTGTTTTTTATCTGTGAATGATATTTAATATAATATTAACGTTGGTATTAACTGGTCCTCGGGTAGTCTGCGTTTTGTAATAAGCACACGTTTTAGTGCTGGTATTAACTAGAATATTGTAACAAACCTGGACTTCTTACTCCTAAACTTAACCCAGTACTAAAACATTTTTTTGGAATAAGACTGAAGATGTATTAATAACTCGACTTCAGCGCCATCTATTGAGTCTGATTTTGTAATTTTTTTATATGGAAATTAACTGACAATATTATATTGTAATTATGAGTCATTTTATCTCATAGTGGCTGTGTAAGAATATCCACTACCCCTATATTGTGGTGTGTCGTAAGAGGCGATAGAAGGAAACAAACCAGGAGATTGGCAGCAGTAACTTTTTGTTAATAACAACTAAAAAAAAAACTGATGTTACCAAGCGTAGTAACTATGGCTAATAACCTGCCTATGTGGCAATCAATGAGTGGGAGGCCTATGTTTAGCAGTGAGCTTTGATAGGCTGTGACGGAGTCACTTTGGCCTATAATGGTGTGAATATGACTTCAGTAAACTTTTTCTTAGAAAATTTTAACCTGTAATAAATACTGTCTTAACCAAATAAAAGAAAACAGATGTCTAAACAAAACATAATGTTTAGAAGTGACCATTAAGTTATTAGTGTCTTATTGCATGGGAAATGAATACCAAGCCTAGCTGGACAGAATTGCTATGGTGTTTCGTTATAAAGGAGTTTGTTATAAACAGTTTATATATACACAATAATTTTGTTAGGGTATTTTGCAAGTTAGTCTAGTCTATGAGCTTTGATTCGGTATCCTCTATTTTGACGCCAACATGCTACAATACTGATGATCAAAGATTTAAAGGCAGTGATATTATCCCTATATAAAACAATGTATTTTCTTACAGCCAAACCGCACGTACTACTTAGAAGACCCGCAGTCTTACGCACTGGAGTGGGCGCGCGTGATCGACGAAGTGCGCATGGGCACATACGGCCGCGACACGACTTAAGCGGCGCGCCGGCGTCGCCGAGTGCGCCCGCCACAGTGCACGCTCCTAGGACATTAACTAGCCTTCATTTCGAGCACGAGAATCATCTAGAAGAAGAAACTTGACGCAACGGCACGCTTACCGCGCCGCGATATGTAAACCGGGCGGCAACACGCACGCGGAGCGTCGCTTCCGCGAGCGCCACATTTGTTCCAGCACGCCGATGACGACGCTTCGCGGACTGCGTACAGTTGTGGACGATCGTATATACGACCGCACGTCATTGCGGACGTATAATAATGTAATAATCGATTCGTGTCGATACTGAATGACTGATTCCTATTAGTATGTCCCGACTATCTTAAACTATTCTAATTTAGGTTACTTATATTTAAATGTGGATATCGATGATATGTAAATATTTGTCGTAAATTATTAACGCAACTTTAGGTGTAACATTTAAACAGGCCTTAGTAATTTAATACGGGCCTTGTGTAGAATGGACTTGTTATTTAACCACCCGCGTGTTCACGAAGCCCATTCCAGTTGGTAACTAGGCAATTTATAGCTAAATTAATATTATTTATTTTAATTATAATCATTTGCCAACGGAATGTGACTATTGTACAGTAATAAAAGTAGAAAATATAATCAGTTTGTTTCCAAGTTCCACTGGGTGCATGCTAATCTGTTTGGATAACTTCAACAGAATACGTATGTAGTTATAAATTGCTGATAGTTTTACAAGAGCTGTGCCGGTGGGAATGGAAACATTATATATGAGAGGGATAGCTTCTTTAGATAAAGCAAGATGGATGTACTGAGACTATATGACAATGATCAATGTACTCCGTTTCGTCTTTATCAGCTCTCCAATGGCTACATTGTTGAGAGGCGCAGGCTTTTTAGCATGCATACAATGCAGGCACTAAAGATAATTTAGTGAAAGTAATGCCACCAAAGGTGACTATGCCTTTATTGGTACGTTTGATAATTCGTATTATTATTTTTTTGTTTATATGAATTTGGTAAGATATTTGGGATTGCTTAACGGATGGATGGATGGATATATCTAATACAAATTTGTGTTTGTCGTTTGTCTTATTATAATATTGTGTAATAATCATGAAGCTATTGATGTATCAAAATTTCAATGTCATGGCATACAGCTTAATTTCTGTTTCTGATGTTATTTAATTAGTGAATTTTAGTTTGTACCTAAAGTTTAATGAAATGCCTAAATCTTGCCTGGAAGGAATGATTGAGGGGCTTAATGTAATATGTGACGAAGTTCACATTGAATGTAGTAAATTTAGAATGTAGATCTTTCACCCCGAGTTTGAGAATTATTTTTCTTTAGTAGTTTCGGGTACTTTTGGCTTAGCACTATAGTTTAACATTGGATTTCTCCATGACATTGTTACTAATAAATCTGCATTTAAAATTTAATAACTGTTAACTATTGTAATTATATTTTAAAACATTTGTATTGCATAAATTCCATAAAATAACAAAATAAGAAATTGAAAATAAATTGAAGTTGATTTTTTAATTTGGTTTTATTAACTTTGCTACCCTTCAATTGCCTTCAATATGCTATCTTTATTTTCATTGTTAGAAATGAAAAAGATAGTAAAAAAAAAATTGTATAATATTTTAGATACCTACTTGTTTTATTTTAATTCCTTAATATTACGATGGAATATAATAATAGTAATGGGACTCACTTGTATATATAGAGGTCAGTGGACTCAATTAAAATTACAATATATAACTCATTCGTTGCGACACCAATTTTCGACGACTTTTACTGTGGCGGCGATAAAATATTTCATGACACGCCTGTCCTGTCAAGCGCCATAGAAGTTGATGACACGTCTATTGTGCCATCAGCCATGGGTGAAATAATGTTCTTTTATGCTTTTTTTCACTTGTTTAGACTTGATTAAGTTTAGTTAACATAAACAACAGTTGCAAACGGAAGGATACTTATTTTAGTGGCTAACTACGTGTTTTGAAATGGAGAGTAAGTGACTTTTTTTATGCAGAGATTACAAACCTATTGTACTCTTTACTGTTTTATAAAAAATAATCATTTATATAAGTAGGTACAGCTAAATCATCCTGAAAAACCTTGGTTTTTATTAAAATAAATTTTCACCTAATAATAACGTTTGTAAAATATCAAGTTTATTAGGGAACTTTTTTATGCATGAACGCGTTCGAACTGTTTCAAGCAAAAATAAACCTTATACCATGTCACAAGAGCACATGGTACTTCGTAGGTCCATTCAGCCGTATGATACTAATAAGACTCCATTTCAACCATTTAAAAAAATTTAACAAATTTTGTTTTCCAGAAACTTGATTACAACTTTTATGAGCGAACGTAATGAGTGATTATTTGAGTATTTTTCCACAACATGATTTAAAATACCCCACACAGTAAAAAGAGTACCCTCTACAAGTTCAAAAAGGCTGTCAACTCCTAAAAATTTCAAATTCTCAAAATATCCAGAAACGAAGCTGTACGCATCAACTACTTGCAAAATAATGAATGTTTTGTTCTGGATAAATCTTCCAAAAACGCGGATTTTTTTTAGGAGAGCATGCGGCTCACCTGATGGTGACTACCGCCGCCCATGAACAACTGCAACACCAGGGGAATTGCAGATGTGTTGCCGGCCTTTTAAAAAGGAGTAGGCTCTTTTCTTGAAGGTCCCTAAGTTGTATCGGTCCGGAAAAACCGCTGGTGGTAATCGATTCCACAAGGAAGTTGTGCAAGGGAGAAAACTTCTTCCAAATCGCACAGTGGTGGACCGCCAATCATTCAGATGGTATGGATGGTATCGCGAGTTTTGTCGCGATGTGCGATAGTGAAATTGAGCGGCTGGAATTAGTCCGAACAATTCCACAGAGCACTCCCCGTAATAGATGCAATAAAATACGCAAAGAGATGCAACATCTCTACGCAGTGCCAATGAATCGAGCCGATCGAAAAGGACTCGGTCGTCGACGATTCGAGCCGCTCTGCGCTGGATGCGGTCAAGTGGAAGGAGCTGGCACTGGGGAGCCTCTGCCCAGAGATGTGAACAGTATTCCATGTAAGGCCGAACCTGCGCCTTGTAAAGTTGCAAGCGGTGTGCCGACATGAAATACTGTCCCGCTCTGTTGAGCACGCCAAGCTTTTTAGAGGCCCTATTTGACCTTCTCTTCCAAGTGGCCACGAAACTGCACGTCACTCGATATGTCGACACCGAGGATTCCGATACTGGCTGAGGCAACAAGGGGAGTGCCTTGAAACTGAGGAGATACGACAAATGGGTTCTTTTTAGCGGTAAACGCGCAAACTTGTGTCTTCTGGGGATTGAACTGGACTAGATTTAGTCGACCCCAGTCTGAGACTTTGTTCAACAAGATCTCAACTTCAGACACAAGTTTGTTCCGGTACTCGGCGACGTTTTCCCGAGAAATATTGGCACGGCCGGTTTATAAGGCATCACCAGTGCTGTCGTCTGCATAGCAATGAATGTTACTGGTTTGCAACCTATAATTGATATGCAGAAGAAACAGCGTTCGTGATAGCACGCAGCCTTGTGGAACACCAGCGTTAATGGGCTTGTAATCGGAGCATGCACCATCTCTACGACCTTGATGCTCCGATCTGCAAGAAAACTGGTGATTCAATTGCACAATTTCTCGGGAAGCCCATAGAAGGCAGCTTCGAAAGAAGTGCTTTGTGCCAAACCCGATCGAAGGCCTTCGCTATGTCCAAACTAACGGCCAACATCGCCCCCTTGGACTACACTGCCTCCGCCCATCTATGAGTTAGGTAACCTAAAAGATCACCAGCTGAGCGACCTCGACGGAAACCGTACTGGCGGTCACTAATCAGCTGGTGATCCTCAATGTATCGCATGAGCTGGCTGTTAATAATTTGAGCGAGTTGTAACGATTTTTAAAATGACAAGACTTGCGTGTTGTGCCACACAGAAAAATAATTGATGAATCTATTATTTTAAGCAAGTATAGTGCCACCAACTTAGCTGTCTACGGTTCAGGTGGACAAAATGAGGGCTAATAATTTTCTGCTTACCAGATGTCGCTAGTTCACACCGAGGTAAAGTTTTTGTTACACAGTGTTATTTAATTGAAAAGTTGGTTTTAATAAAAGTTTATCAATTTCTAGAGTATTAAATTAATACACAAAACATTGCGGCTTACTCTTTCATTTTTTTGCACATTTAAATTTTTTTTAATTTTTCTACTTTTATGAATATCTGTGGTTTTATTTATTTATTTTGAATGTTATTAATATAAAATATAGCTAATAGTTTACATTTTCCGAACAAATTAACTTCCCCGCTATGAAATCTGTCAAATGTTATACCTCACTTTCTAGTGGTATCACCCTGGTGGCAGAAAAAGTTGTGGATCCTCTACACTCCATACCTCATTGGAACTAAGGCCGCCTTTTTATAAATTATGGAGTGTAGAGTAGAAGGAGGACCATCTCTGTATATGAAAAGTGTCCCTAAAAACGCGTCCAATAAGGGTGGCGCTGCAGTAGCATAGGATAAATTAAAAAAAAAAGCGCCAAAATTTATTAGAATAAGATGGAGAAATAAACAAGGACCGACCAATCCGCTCGGTTTTGTACTACGTAAATAGTTGAGGTTTTGTATACTGGCATTTTACTAACTACTCTAGTCATGAAATTTTATAAATATTTTAACTCAGCTGACTTCACTCCGTCTACAACAGCTATATTCATATCGTAGTTTTTCAGACGACAGCGCTATTGTGGTAGGTTTTGGAACCTCTATTTTCAGTATATATTGGGACACTTTTTCAACTTTCGCACCTTATAAGATGGTTCTCCTTCTACTCTACACTCCATATTATAAATTACATCTCACTGTCAGGTAAGTGCATTAGGGATGTGAAAAAATAATCGATTTTCATATTAATCGATTATATTTTTCTTATAATCGATTTTTAAAAATCTATTTTTTTATAAG